AAAAACTTATACAGAAATAGTCACAACAGCATTATTCATCATAGTCAAGAAATGGAAACAACCCAAAATGTCTATCACCTGATGAATGGATAAAACAAAATATGGCATATCCATACTATAGGATATTATTCAGCCATAAACAAGATATGAAGTACAGGTAGTCCCCAATTTACAATGTATTCCAGTTACAATGGACTGTACTTATGACCATCATTGTATCTGGAACATTACATCTTCCTGGGAGGAAGTTACAGAAAAATGCATGTAGAGGGTATGGAAAAAATTCCTGAGTTTTGTGAACATACTCCAAACATTTGATCAGGATAATATGATGGAAGAGATTGGTGGAAAAATTGTCCATATGGCAAGAACGCCGAGTTTAGAACTTGATATTGCCAATGTGGAATAGTTCATAGATCATGAAGAAGGAGAACTGGCAGATCAGGACTTAATATATATTGAAATGGAAATAAAAGCTGAAGAAGAAGGAAATAATAAAGATTTATAATAATAAGAAGAAATAATAAGGAAGAGGAAATAAAGAACTTGCCAAAATTTTTATAGTAAAAGGATTAGCTGGAGTTTTCTAAGCTAAATCAGGGGCATCAGTTCCTTGAAAACATGGACCCAAATGCTGATCACTTTGCTAAAGTTGATAGGCAGATTCGGGAAGCAGCAGGATGTTACAGTGTATTATACAAAGAGAAAAAATGAACAGACAAACAACTCTCACTAATTTTCTAACTAGAAACAATATCCTCATGCCCAGGGATAACATAGATGATCCAGAACCTTCCATAAGTGGAGTTATAACCACAACTGACAAAAGGCCAATGTCATCTAACTGTTCTTTATCATTAGAATAAGTTTTTATGATTTGTATATTTTTATGTATGCATGCATACATTAAAAACATATCTGTAAGTTTATGTTAAAATGAAGACCAGATTTAGAAAGATACTGATAATAATGCCTGTTATGTGCCGTGGAGTTGGACCCGACTCATAGCAGCCCCTCCTTGTGTCTCTGAGGCAGTATCTCTACAGAAGTAGATTGCCCAACCTTCCTTCTGAGGAGTGGCTGGTGGGTTTGAACCACCAGCCTTCTGGTTAGCAGTCAAGTGCCTTA